CATCGATCCGCTCAGAATCTAAAATCTAAAATATATCCGATAAATTTAAAATTAACATATACTTATCATTATTATTATATAATTTCTTATTCAGCAGTATTCGGAGAAAATTATAGACTTGGAATTTTAGAATCTAGGTAGTTGGTATTATAGTCGATACTGTAAATTTGATGAATTTACTGAGTATACCTTTATGTTACCTAAAATCGAATAATCACATTTTTATTTAATGATTCATAAAATACAATAAGCTTTTATAAAAATATACTTGTACTTCTGCAGATATCTATTCACCATCTTAATCAATAGTTAAATTAATAAACAAAAATAGTAATTTAAATAATACCCATATCAATACCATATTATTATAATTTAAATTCAAAATCATTAACTTATAACTATTTTGATTTTTGTCATATAAAATTTCAACAAACAAATATTGTTCCTTAACACGGAACTCATTGATATAAAAAGTTGCATTATATGATCCGTGGATTCATCATATTGACTTTACCTAGTATAATATAATATCTATCATTTATATTCTATGGCAAATCTCATAGTCGTTGCAGACGACACAGTCGATTAAAAATTCTAAAATTTCAATAAGCAAAGCAGATATGAGTAAAAAACTTACTGCGTCCCGTATAATTTTATTTTTCATAAATCACAATATTTTAAGTTCTGTATTCTCTGAAGCGTTTCGTCGTCGGCGTCACAGTTCTCACACTTTACGGATTAAGTCGAAAGAGTCGATAATTAAACTATTAAAGTAAGTTTTTTTTCATATTCTTTTGGGGCTTAATTTTACTTTCATTTTTTCTAAATTATATGGTAAAAAATAAATCATATTTCGCTATAAAAAAATAATAAAACATAAAGTATTTTAAATTTGAGTAGAATAACTTTTTATGATCATAACCACATTGCCTACAGATTATTAAGCATTAGTACAGCAGTAGTTTATAGTCATTTTTGATCAAAAAAATTTAAAAGTGTCATCGTGTATTCGTGTATATAAATTATAATAATATACTCTGAGGGCCGTTCTTACAATGTCCGGTAAAGTGTCGGTTAACGCTAACCAACTAATAACAGATTTTATTACCTGCAGGATTATACGGGTTATGTGTAGGTTAAATTTAAATTTCAAAAATTATTTATTAATATATAATTTATTGGTCTATAGTATTAAATAAATTAATATAATTATTAATAATAATATTAAATTCATTTATAAATTATAAAAATACAAACGAACAAACGAAAAACGATTCTGAGCGAGCAAAGACAGTTATAAATAATGTTGTGATTAAAGTAATTTATTTTACTATTATGCCTTTGTACAAGAGTAGGTTAAAGCAATTTTTGCCCAAAAATTACATTTGAAAGTGTCATCGTGTAGGTATATAAATTATAATGATATACTATAAAAGTTTCATGAATCCACGAATTCCTACAATTTTTAAATTGCAACAAAATATCTAAAATCGCTATTCTTTGTTTTAATAAGTAATTTCTTCCAGAAATCAAGACATTTTTTTATAAAAAAAATCGTGCCTATGGATCTTTATTGTTTCTCAACTGCTATTATAAATAATTATGAGGAAACTTTTATTACATTTTCATATTATGAGTAGGTAAACAAAGACATTTTTGTATGAATATCTTACAACAAAATATTTTGCAAATTGACAAGATTATGATAAATTTTGTAGAAATGCCTATACAAAAAACCTGCCTATATATTTCTAATTTTTTTTAACTGATATTATATATCAACTTACGAGGAACTTAAAATTATTTTTAAGCTTTCTGACCCAACGAATAAAATTGTATTGATATTTATAGAATACAGAACTAAAAACATTTCATAATTCAAATGTATATAAATCACTGAAAACGAGTCAAAATATTTTGAAAATTTTATGATGTATAGAAAATGATAGCTTAAAAATTCGATGGACATTTTAAATATCGACGGTTAATAGTTGTTGAATAACAACAAAATAAAAACATTTTTTTACGAGATTCATATATACATCATTGTAAAATCAAAACATTCATTGCTCCCGTAGTCGGCTCTAAAAAACAAACTAACACATAATAGTTAAGTAGGTATAATACAGATTAAACTTAAGACATATAAAATATAATATCTGTAACGCTTAGGTCATAAGAATATTGTTGAACATTTTACTGCAGGCTGCGTATTATTTCAGAAATGGTATTTAACTCGTCAGTGAAGATTTGTCAACTGGGAATAATATATCATAAGCATACTGAAATGTGTAACGTTGCAGTATTTCGAAGACTAAGTTTTATAGCAGATTCTGATTCGGACACGGGGTATGTATTTTATTATTTTTCTGCAATAGGTTTCTTTTTATTATAGTTAATCGATCAGGGTTGTACTGCCCGAAACTTTTCAATTATTTGTATTGTAACTATACTGGTATAACACTATTCTGGCTATCAATAAAGTCGTGATAAAAATTAGGAAATTGGTCAGGTATGATATTTTATGGTATGTAGGTACTAATTCTTTTGAGTAGATAATTTGTTCAATTATTTAAATATTTTCACCGATAATCAAGTACGATGACTTGTAGGTAACTAGAGACTGAGTGAATAGGAATTAGGAAGTGTATGATGTAAGGAAGATAAGGAAAGAGGTCATTAGGATTTCACAAGGCTGGGCATTAACGAGTTAATAAGTTAAAAGTTAAGTTAATTTTAACTTATTAACTTAACTTACTAGTTCGTTTCTCATTTATAACTGCGTTAACTTAAAATCAACTTCTACTTTTTTAATATTACCAATTAAGTTAATTTTGAATTTTCGTTTTTATCTAGAATATATTTAAGTCTATAACGGTTCGTCGATTTAAAATTCGTAGAATATTGGAAAATATTGTTGAAAAAAAAAGAAGATATTTTCGTAATAATTTTTTTTTTTTATTAACTTAACTTATTAATTGAAGTTAAGTTAACACAATTTAATAACTTAACTTTAAACTTAATTGATGTATTAAAAATTTATATTAACTTAACTTCGAATTTAATTGAACAAAAAATATTTAACTTAACTTAACTGAGTTAAAAAAAATCATTAACTTGCCCAGCCTTGGGATTTCAGAGTGTTTGGCGTATGAAAGGGAAATGCGAAAAAGAAATGTTAGGTTAGGGTAGGTAAGTTGAGTGAGAGTAGCAGATATGAGAATGTCAAGTTGAGTGTGAAAGGGACAAAAGAGGATAGAATAAGATATTAATGAATTAAATGTAGTGTAGGAGTGACATATAATATTAAATATATTATATGTCACTCCTACAGGACTCCTATAGGAGTGACATATATATTTAAGTGAAAACAGGAGATACTAGGTTGAGGTGGTTTATTCACTGTATGATAAGAGGTAGTGAGAGAAGCTAACAGATGTAGGTAAATGTAGGGGGAAAGTGAGAGGTGAGAAGACTGAAGAAGTGATGGGTAGAACAGATGATATTATGGAGGTGCAGGAAAAGAGGGTGGCTGAACCTGTATAGTTGTGTGAGAAGGGGGAAGAAAAAGTGTGAAGGTAGAATAGTTAGGTTGACAATAACGAATACGTAGGAAAGGATCTCGAATTGCAAAAGCCACTCGACTCTTTGGCTGAAACTACCGGCGCGCGGTAGGTTTACAACCTAGACTTATGGGATAGAATAAAAAGATCGGTTGGTTGCCGGTTGGGATGTCAGTGTTTCCATCTTTGACCCACGCGAGGTAACATCATAGGCGCTATTGGGGGATGAGGGGGGGGGGTCTAGGGGCGGGCTTATAGCCTAATAAAAAAATTATGCGGATCTGTATTGATTTCATGAAGTAGCCAACGCGTACTACGTAGCGAAGTACGTTGGCTACTCTATGACAATTAGTGTAAATAATTAAAATTTAAAATGTTTATAAATAATTAAACTAATTCAAAGACACACAAAAAAAATAATATTTAATGTCTACTAAAAAAATTACAATATATATATATCTTAATAATTAATAAACAGTTGGGCAACTATTGCTTAAATGCCGGTTGGAGACTGTAGTCATCACCAGTTTATATTAAACGAAAAGTAAAGATGAGGGCGTTGCCCTCACACCACCATAAAAATATTAATTTGAAAATATAAAAACTATAAAATAAAATAAATTTCTTCTTTTCAAGTTTAATTCTTCACAATAATATACTGTCTATACCTAATTAAAAAACAAAAATTAAGAGTTAAGTTGAATTTTAAAAAAGTTTATTAATATTACGAAACAATTGCATAATTTATTTATTTTTTTTGGGTCAGAGATGGAAATAAATAGTGCACTAAAAATATGACGTCCTCTTAAGTGTTATCAAGTTAAGAGGGGGGGTTCACACTACACCGTGTCGTGTGGACCCTCCTTAAGAAGCTGTTAATTGTTGATATTTAACATTAACTGTGGTAGTGGTATGATTGGAAGTTAAAGTAATAAGTAGGGCTGTGAATTGAATGCACTAAACAATTTTTAAATATGCACTAAAATTATGAATGCTATGAAATTAAATGCTCTATAAAAAAGCCATTATTAAAAACCATTGAAATTAATAAATACAAATTATAAATGGCTTACAAAAAAAAATTCTTTATTCACATACTAGCTAAGTATCATTATTTTTCTAATTTGTAAAAAATTATGAATCTATATTATAGCCAATTTAGACCTGATTTACAGATAAATACAATTTTTTTTAAGAAAATAATCATAAATAAAAAACATCATAAAAACTTTCAATTATAAAAATGCCTTAACCCAAAATATAGACATGGGATTTTGTATTTGTACAAAAAAATAAATGTTTAATTGTTACATATTACTAGTTAGGTGGCCAAGAAAACATGTAATTACTTACCTAACCCATTAAATTATATGCTAAATAAGATTTCGTATTTAAACTATAAATAAACCAAAACAAATTTTGGCCATATCCATTATCTTATAGTTTTTTATACTGTGTATCAATACTATCTATACTTGTACCTCCACTAATTTGACAAGACGACCATTCTTTAGAAATTTCAAAGTCTCGACTCTTAAATGTTTTTAAGCAACTAACTTCAAAGCAAGTTTTACATCCCAATAATCCATTTTTACAAAAAAGCCATGTATGTTTTTCTTTTTTTTGTGCCCATTGTTCAGCAGACCAATCTAAAGGCCACAACACTCCAGCAACTTCTGAATTCTCTGTTATAATTAGTTTTAAACTTGTCTGTAAAAAAAAAAAAGTATTATTAAGTAAAATATTTGAAATGTTAGTTTTTTTGCTGTTTATTTTACAAAAGTAAACAAATAATAATAAAATCTTAATTTTTATTTGAATAAATCATAGGTAAAAACTTTAAATTTTTCATATTTTTTCTTAACTGATTTGTTTAAATTTATCGTAAGTTCCTAACAGCTATTGATAGCCACCACGGACTAAGATATAAAATATACATATATATATTTCCCTAAAAGTAGTTAAGATATTATTTTACCTGAGGCACTTCTGTAGAAGCATCTAAATGTAATGCAACATCAATAGATGCGTTGTTCTTTGTTTCTACCTTATGAGGGGGAGATTGTAAATCTGCTACATATGTCTCACCAAATTGTTCTGTGGGCACATTCTCGACATTTTTTGTAGTATTCCTCAACAAAACATGCAATCAATTATCAATGTGAATAATAAAACAATAAAATTGTATTAAAATGTATCAATTTTTAGCAACAATAATTAGGAATGAAAATATGAAATGTTCAAATATTGAAATACTCAAATAGGTACCTACATAATTTAAGTATTTCCTACTGTAACTGTCATATAAATTATTTTAATGACAAATTAAAACATAAAAATACTATAAACCACTTCAAAATTATAATGAACATTTTTTCAGTTATTAATAATTATCTAGGTTATAGATATTTAACTATATCCAAGTACAAATATATACAATTAATATTAAAGGTATATTGTAACTCTCAAAAGTTGAAAATTATTAAGTTTTGACCATATAAAAATAACTATAAAATAACTATGTCATAACATTTTATATTTTTGGCTACCGACTAGTGCATTACAGTTAAATTAAAAATACTTACCTTTGTAATTGATTTTCTTATAACAAATTTGTCCATTTTGATTTAAAATAAAAAATTCACAAGATTCGTGAATAGTGCTCACGGTCAATAGAAGCTTTCGCACTCTGCTGAGTGCAGCTGTCTGCTAGTATTTAGTAGGTAATAAACTAGAATTGCATATAAATTATAATAATTATGAAAAACAATAATAATTAATAATAATTATACACTATCACAATTCACAGCCCACAGGTTTATCACTTTAACCAACGACTTTTACGCGGCAATAACGTTTTCCGAATACGGATACCGGCCGGTCTAATCTTTTGTGATAGTATCTACTATCTGATACTGGTAATTGGTTCTCGAAATGTTTTTTGATAATCAGTTAATAATATTATAATATCATAGAATTTAATTGCATTAAAAACACTCAAAAATTGCATAATAAAAATTGTATAATTGCACCAAAAATTCCATAAAAATTGCAAAATAAATTGCACTATAAAAATGCAAGTCGTATTTATATATTCATTAATTAATATTACATTAATTACATTTAATATTAATTTTACATTTTTGAATTAAAATTGATGATTAAATACATTTCTAAATTATTTTCATTAAAATTAAATCTTCTATTACTCAAAATATGTTTGTACAACGAGAAACTACGTTCTACGTCAACACTCGTTATTAGTGCATATTTAAAACAATTTAATAAAGTAGGCGTTATATCTAAATTAACATTTGCTTTACCTGACATGACTTCATAGTAACACTTTAAAGTTTTATACCCTTCATTTTTTTTAATTACATACATACATTTTTCCTTAATTTTTTCCCCTTATAATTTATAACAAATGTTTAAATGTACACAGCAGACCACATATTTATTGGCTGCATAATATTCTGTACGTCACACAGTCTCTCTTTAAAATTATCCCGTCTACAAAATATAAATCATTTGTAAATCTAAAGACTTAATTGAGTACCTAATAGATAATTGTTCTAAAAGAGCGACGTGCCCTGTCGCCAGCTCACTAGTATCGACCAAAAATATTATGTGAGTAAATCTAAAGACTTAATTGAGTACCTAATAGATAATTGTTCTAAAAGAGCGACGTGCCCTGTCGCCAGCTCACTAGTATCGACCAAAAATATTATGTGAGAAATAAAAAACTAATGTTTCAAGTAACGGATAATCATACTCTTTGGCTTAGTGTGAATATCTGGACATTATAATTGCGGAAAGGTGTTAAGTGTACGTATCGGCCGCTGTTGCTAGATCCCGGATGGGTGACCACCTGGAATTTTTAGCAACAAATAGTTGCCACAAATACTAACGTGTTTTAACCAACCGTTACTTAATTATCCCGTCTACAAAATATAAATCATTTGTAAATCTAATATAACTTATTTAACTTATAATTAAACTTAATTGAGTACCTAATAGATAATTGTTCTAAAAGAGCGACGTGCCCTGTCGCCAGCTCCCTAGGTGGAGAGACATTAGTACAAGATTTGTATTAACGTCAATACTTAGTATCGACCAAATATATTATGTGAGAAATAAAAAACTAATGTTTCAAGTAACGGATAATCATATTCGTTGGCTTAGTGTGAACATCTGCACATTATAATTGCGGAAAGGTGTTAAGTGTACGTATCGGCCGCTGTTACTAGATCCCGGATGGGTGACCACCTGGAATTTTTAGCAACAAATAGTTGCCACAAATACTAACGTGTTTTAACCAACCGTTACTACTCACTACAAACAACCTACAAGCAAAAAAACCATCTAATGGTCAAAGTTGCTGGGCTCAAGCTCAAGCTCAAAAAAAAAAAAAAATCATTAAAAAAAAAAAACTTATTACGAAATGTACAATACTAATAAGTTATATTAGATAGACGTGCGCGGTCGTCTGATTAGGTTAGATCAAAAATAGTATTTATATCATTTCTTTTGTTAAAAGTATAAAAGAGAGACTGTCGTGACTTGAATTTACACGCTAATAAGTCATAACTTATATAATAACTAAAATGTCATAAAGTAGCCAACGTACTTCGCTACATAGTACGCGTTGGCTACTTCATGAGTCAATACAGATTCGCATAATTTTTTTATTAGGCTATAAGCCCGCCCCTGGACCCCCCCCCCCTCATCCCCCAATAGCGTCTATGATGTTACCTCGCGTGGGTCAAAGATGGACAGAAATAGTGCTCTGACATCCCAGCCGGAAACCAACCGATCTTTTTATTCTATCCCAAAAGTCGTCTAGGTTGTACCGCCGGTAGTTTCAGCTGAAGAGTCCAATGGCCTTTGTAATTCGAGATCCTTTCCTATGTATTCGGTATTGTCAACCTAACTATTCTACCTTCGCACTTTTTCTTCCCCCTTCTCACACAACTATACAGGTTCAGCCACCCTCTTTTCCTGCACCTCCATAATATCATCTGTTCTACCCATCACTTCTACAGTCTTCTCACCTCTCACTTTCCCCCTACATTTACCTACATCTGTTAGCTTCTCTCACTACCTCTTATCATACAGTGAATGAACCACCTCAACCTAGTATCTCTTGTTTTCACTTAAATATATATGTCACTCCTATACTACATTTAATTAATCAATATCTTATTCTATCCTCTTTTGTCCCTTACACACTCAACTTGACATTCTCATTGTAAACATAACAATGAAAGAAAATATTTAAATAATGGTTATTTTAGGTTAGGTTAAGGAGAATAGAGGAAATTAGATGTAACTAATTATCATAGTTTTTAACACGGTCTTAAAGACAGCCAGCTAGAGTTGTACCAGTATAATTAAAAACTTAAATACAGCCAACTTTAATTAATGATTTTTCAAAACAACGAACTAATAATAATATGTATTTTAAAATATAATAAAATATAATTTTATTAGGTTTTTATGAGATTTTAAATACTTATTAGTTTTTAAATATAAAATGTATAACTTAATATTATTTTAAATTAAACATTATTTTATATCCTTCATAAATTACAATCACATGGTAGAGTCCGTAAAGGACATTTTTCTCATTTAATTATTTTGCATCCTTAATATTAACATTCATTTTTATACATTTTCTAATACATATATTACAGTGATACACCTCTGATCATAATAACTATTCGTTTATTATAATGTAAGCAATACCTAGTTTTTGGGTTGTAGTTAAAATGTACCTTCCAGCGTATTCTTTTGTTTAGTGTTAATTCACATGGGTTCTTCATAGTCTAATTTTTTCGATTCATTTTACTCTAGTAGATCTTTTTGTACAAACGTTTTTAAGCATTAACCGATTATACCATGGAAAACACTAAGTACCTGTACACTTACTTTATAAAAGAAGATTTTTAGTTTCTCTCACGAGCACCATTCAATACCTTTGTTTTTTATTTATTTATTATCATTCTTTAATGAGCTAAACATCGTCAGTTGTTTTTTCGGTTTAGGATTCTGGACATTTTAGTTTGAACTTTTTAATGTGTTTTCCTACTGTAAAATTTTGTCTAAATTTTTTTTTGGTTTTCTCAAATGCACTTGCCTGCGGGCGCCAACACTCCCCTTCAATTTTTTTTTAGGAATTTGACTCTAGTTGAATTTTTTGAACAAACTTTATTATTGATTATCGTCATCGTCAGTTGTTTTTTCGGTTTAGGATTCTGGACATTTTAGTTTGAACTTTTTAATGTGTTTTCCTACTGTAAAATTTTGTCTAAATTTTTTTTTGGTTTTCTCAAATGCATTTGCCTGCGGGCGCCAACACTCCCCTTCAATTTTTTTTTTAGGAATTTGACTCTAGTTGAATTTTTTGAACAAACTTAATTATTGATTATCGTCATCGTCAGTTGTTTTTCTGTTTTGGATTCTGGACATTTTAGTTTGAACTCTTTAATGTATTTTCCTACTGTATAATTTTGTCTAAATTTTTTTTTGGTTTTCTCAAATGCATTTGCCTGCGGGCGCCAACACTCCCCTTCAATGTTTTTTTTAGGAATTTGACTCTAGTTGAATTTTTTGAACAAACTTGATTATTGATTATCGTCATCGTCAGTTGTTTTTCTGTTTTGGATTCTGGACATTTTAGTTTGAACTCTTTAATGTGTTTTCCTACTGTAAAATTTTGTCTAAATTTTTTTTGGTTTTCTCAAATGCATTTGCCTGCGGGCGCCAACACTCCCCTTCAATTTTTTTTTTAGGAATTTGACTCTAGTTGAATTTTTTATATAGACTTGAATATTGATTATCGTCATCGTCAGTTGTTTTTCTGTTTTGGATTCTGGACATTTTAGTTTGAACTCTTTAATGTATTTTCCTACTGTATAATTTTGTCTAAATATTTTTTTGGTTTTCTCAAATGCATTTGCCTGCGGGCGCCAACACTCCCCTTCAATTTTTTTTTTAGGAATTTGACTCTAGTTGAATTTTTTGAACAAACTTGATTATTGATTATCGTCATCGTCAGTTGTTTTTCGGTTTAGGATTCTGTACATTTTAGTTTGAACCCTTCCATATGTGTTCCTATTGTATGATTTTTTCTAATTTTTTTTTTTGTTTTTCTAAAATGCATTTGCCTGCGGGCGCCAACACTCCCCTTCAATTTTTTTTTTAGGAATTTGACTCTAGTTGAATTTTTTGCACAGATATGTTTATTGATTACCTTCAGGTGCCCTTTGTTTTATCATACTTTAATGAGGTTATCATCGTCAGATTTTTATCTGTTTAAGATTCTGGACATTTTAATTTGAGCTCTTTCATTTGTTTTTCGACTGTATAATTTTTTTTACATTTTTTTTTTGTTTTCTAAAATGGACTTGCCTGCGGGCGCCAACACTCCCCTTCAATTTTTTCCCTAGGAATTTGACTCTAGTTGAATTTTTTGAACAAACTTTATTATTGATTATCGTCATCGTCAGTTGTTTTTTCGGTTTAGGATTCTGGACATTTTAGTTTGAACTCTTTAATGTGTTTTCCTACTGTAAAATTTTGTCTAAATTTTTTTTTGGTTTTCTCAAATGCATTTGCC